TAATCAGAGGAAGATCCGTGTGTCGTCAGACTGAGATGCGCGCTATCCCTAATTCCAATAATAATAGCAATAATTATAATAATTATTATTATTATCCCAAAGTCCAGCCCTATGTCCGAGCAATTGAGAACTTTGCCACGTGGGAGACGGGCAACGTCAGAAAATTTGGCGGCAAACAGGACGATGGCACACCCATAGAGACATGGAGACACGGAACATGCGTCTTAGGGCCTCGGAAAAGCAGCCGCTGCCTGGGGAGCGCCGGGCCACCTCGGAGCCACCGCTGGAGGTGACAGCATGCGAGCCGCTGGTGATCAGGAGCTGAACACGCGGGCCCTGATCGGGGATAACACCGAATATACTACAGCTGAACATAGCAGCACCCATCCATCTCCACTTATAGCTGCACCTCCCGCAAATGCGAGAAGCAATAGATTGCTCCCGGAGATCACTGCCGCAGGCAGGCATCGCAGAAGGATGAAGTGGACTACAGAAATAAATACCTTCATCATGCGTGAATACTACACCTTTACCAAAACGGAGACTGACACTACGGCCTACCGACAAAAGTTACATCAAAGATTTCGGAGAGTTACGCAAAGAATAGCGGACCAGCGTCGAGCAATTGTCCAGAAAAATCTCCTCTCTGCACCAGTTTTGGAAGCAATCAAGGAAGAAGTGAGAAAACGCTTAACTCCTCAGAACCTAGTAATCTGAGGGCAGATATCAGCTATGCAAACTCAGGATGACAAAGGAACAAGCATGTCAGAAACTATGCATGATAAGAGTAGTGAAGAGGTGCAAATTCGCAATGAATTTGCAGTCCCCTTGCGGAATTTGAATGAACTGACCCACTGAACCGCTATCTCATTCCCAGACAAAATTTGCTCCGAAGAGAATTTAGCATGAACAAACAGCGTCTTGAATGAGAAAGTACTCACAACATCTACAACAAAGACCATCTTCGAAAGAATACACGACAGCCGCAATTTTATTGTTGCTGCGTTGTGACTTCAAGATGTAACCGTTCCAAGCTGGAGTTCAACGGTCCACAATGATCGAAATGAAAAAGAATGCCTCCTTGGGAAAGACGCTGTGATTCTTATAGAAAGGCACTAGGGAAGAGATAATTGGGAAGACTCCACAATTTAAAAAGAAGGAAATACCTCAGAGAAAGTGAGGAAGAAAAGGTGAAATAAACACCTTATCAATACAAAATAACATACGAGCCGAGCATTGGAATTCAATAATACAGAACTATCTTGACACCCTACGACAAAAGCTTTTGACGTTTATACAAAAACGCCTTCGACGCTACAGGAATTGCACCTGCGAGGAAGCAACAGAATTCTCCTTTTAAGAAAACAGAAAGCATTGACTATCAGGAGTGTGTCAAAGGCTTGTAAATGATATGAAGAGAGTCAATAGATTCCCTCAAGCACAAATAGAGGACTTTTGAAGCCTGTCTTCATTCTGCTCGGTCCCCACAACCCAGGAATGACGTGGATTGAAAGATGAAATAATTGTCAGATACCGAATTATCCCTCATAATGGGTGAACACAATCATCGACCGCGTGGAATTGTTCAAGCAGCTTTGAACAAAGCACGTAACTGGAAGGCCACCAGGCAGTGGTGGCCTGGCACAATTATTGGATCAAAAAATTTACCAGCACTACCCATGCTCATAGCTAATATAATTCATGATATTTTCTTGCAACAACCCAGAAAATCATGCCTTACTTCGCTCATGAAGGTTAGAAACAGTCATTGTTATCAAAGGAGGGTGACATTTAAAGACCCCGCGAAGTACAGGCATATAATCTGCTTCAAACTTTTCTACAAACTCATAACATCTTGTGTTTTCACAAAATGATCGAACAACATTGAAGAACAGAACCATCTAGCGACACTGAACACGAAAGGATGAAGCCGCTGATCTCAGGGATGCGAAGAGCACACTCAATTATAGACTCGTTAATTATGGGGCAAGGTGCTTGAAAACTTGTTCACGATGTAGCAATAGATTATGCTAAGCATTCGATCACCGTGCCCCTTCTTTGGGCTCCGTTCAGTGTTTGCGTATGTATAACAAGGTCCACCCGTTATCCAAAAACTGTCCTGAAACGAGATATAGACGATGGAAACAAAACGTATCTCTGCTAATGGAAAACAATCGTCCACCACAGATTACTATACACATCCACCGCGAGGGATTTTCCAGGGTGACTTCTCTAACCTTTATTTCGTTTTAGGCATTGATCCCTGTCTACTACTAAGCATTTCATTGTAAATATGGCAGTCTCTCTTAAATGAAGGGAACTCAACTTATCTTCGTGTCTGCACATCTTCTTACATGGATGACTGAAGCTCTATTGAGACACTGAGATGTCATATCGCGGCAACTAATTAAATGTAGCGGAGAAGTTCACTGACGACATTAAGATGAAATCGTTTAGATATAAGGCAGGAGCAGTGCATATCACTACGGCGGTCATAGCAAGGTTACACAGTTGGAAACTGATAATTGAACCAAAGATTACCTGTCATGGAACCCATGAAACTTACAAATACGTGGTTCCAACCAGTCACTCCAATCAAACACACTTATAACTAAGATCATAGCTAAGCAACTGAAGTGTTAGGAAACGAGATTGCATGGACTCCTTAAGAAAACTCAACCTCCTCTGCTAGAAACCTTGTGCAGCGCTCAATTCAGTTTGTTATTCCAGTGCTTGACATATCTCCTTTGGCGTTATAATTGGAGGGCAATACCGACCTCCGACAACCTCCAGAGGACAATTTTTAAACCGCTATGACTTCAACACTGAAAAACATCATTCCCAATTCAGTATTTCTGAGAGCGTGTTTACCCTTCCAAGTCGGCAAGGAGAGAGAGAGGTGTTGTAGATCTCATAAAATGCTACACAGCTCTCAAATTGCATCACTCTTGAAGATACTTCTTGGAACATTGTGGAGAGTTCACAAGCAGTGGAGCGCAGTGATAATAACTATAGTCCTCGATACTTGAAAAAACTTGATCCGCCTTTTCACCAACCAAGTCATTGTGAACGGAAGAGTAAGATAACCTTAATGGAAGCGAAGGCAGCTTCATGGAAGGTTACCCCCACAAACTGAGTAAACGAGAAGTCGACATATCTCTGCGTCCGCACACATGGCTCCAGCACGGGGATCTCTTTCCCGGTGACAGAAGCCTTCATGATAGCTATCCCAGGACCAATTGTACCAAAACTGAAACTACAAGAAAACACCATTCATAGAGATTCTAGCGCATCCATTCCGAACTCGTATACAAGATTGTGAGACTGCAAAGCGCGAAAAACTATCCAACACGTGACAAGGGAATGTAAGCAGCCACCTACAGTTGGAATACAAAAAAGAGGCACGCATGAAAGTGTAAAAGCAGGTCCAGCCAATTAATTGCGCATTGAGAACCGGGCCATTACTCGCCCACTTCGTGCGCATTATCAATATGTTCACTGCCGAATGTGCTGAAAAGTAGTGAGCCACCACACTCTACTGGATCGCTACATTATTACTGGACAGACACGTCGCGGCATATAGACCCAATATAACTTACATTGATAGAATACCAACAGCAGTTTTTCTTATTGATATATCATACCCAATACCCCCACAACAATATCGGGAAATATCAAGAGAAGATCCAGAAGTATACGATCTCACACACATGAAGTCGCAACTCAGTGGACTTCAGTAAAAGTGACAGAACTGTGCCTATTAACTAATATGCAGCTACAGGAGTGATGCCCGAAAAATGACACTTCGGGCCACTGGAGTGGTCCCTTCACTTGAATGCCAGGAATGTAAGTATATATTGCAAAAGTCAGTAATTTTGAAACATGCCGTGATGTCCAGAGCCATCTGAACCTTCAGTTAATAGCCAACACACACCTGGTCCATCATTCTTAGTGTTTGGGTGACATTACACCGACCAGTAGATACCGGGGTCGGGTGAATATGTAAGATACGAGGATGATGAGGATGATGAATGTAGAGATGATTGATAGATGATGATGGATGATGATGATGATGATGATTGATGATAATAATAATAATAATAATAATAATAATAATAATAATAATAATAATAATAATATTAATAATATTTGGGTGTCGGACATTTCTGACCATCCTACACGATTAACATGTGTAACTATGGGAATTAGCTCTTCAGATGTATCTCTCAGTAAGACAAGGTTGTTAAACCTTGAATTGTGAATTATAAAATAATAGGAGAATGAAGATGATGAGGGGTAAGGGGCAATCACAAATACGACTATGCCTATGCAGGACTCGAACCTGCTGTCTCCTCGGCGCTGACAACGGTTACCCCTACCATCTCTGCCACAAGACCTGCTACTATATAAAAGACGTTTAGTTGATGTGCTTTCTACTTTTAAGAAAATCATTTTGTGTGGTTTAGTTCAACCACAGTAGCGAAATAATTTTTCAAATACTTCAAATTTTCGATTTTTTTACATTTTACTTTTGAAATCATGCTACTTGTAATTGTATCTGGACATTTGTAATTTGCAAGTAATCTACAAGTTTATTTCTCATTTCAAAAACAACATCATCATACATTGAGTGCGTTTTGACAAATCAAAACATTTTAAATGTATTACATCAAAAAGTTGACATGAAATATGTGAAACATTCTTAACTTCCCAAAAATGAAGAACGTGGAAACTGTACAATGCATATCTACAGTGTGAAGGGTGAATTCAGGGCAAAAATGTAAAGAAACTTTCAAATCTACCATTGAAGGGGGCCAATTTAAACTCAATTCCCCACTGCAACTCCTAAAAATGCACCAAAAATGTTTCCCCCAATCAGAAAGAAAGAGATTATTTTGCAGCAACTTAAACACTTTTCTATTCTTTAAAAGCAAAAAACAAAGCCCAAATATATCTAATTACATTATTTAAGTTCACAATTATTGATGTGGAAAACTCACCGCTGCATCTGAATGTAAGTTGAGTCATTATCATCTTCCCAATCAACTTGCTTCTCCTCAAGTTTCTTTATCTTCCGATGTAATAACTAAAAGAAAAAGAAAACACTTCTAGATGAAAAACGTAACTTCAGAATAAATGTATTTATTTGTGAAATATATGCATGTGAAATTAGCTTTTAGGAAAGGTGATCTTATTCATTAAAATTTAAGGAGGCCCACAAAATATTTTTTAAATTTAACTTAACTCACTAAATTAAAAAAAAAGGGTATGAGAGATGCAAAGAAAAAAGTATGTTTGCCAAACACAATAGTTCCTTTTGTAAGATTATCAAAATTGATGAATATAAAAATTGAAACCACTTGAAACAGAATACTTTGATTGAACATAAAAATCAGAAACTGTTTCTCTACAGATCATATTCCCATATCAAAATACATCACTATCATCATAAATACTAATTTTATAAGTTTTGCATCACTGATCCATAGATTTATCATTAATAGACTTAGTACTATAAGTTATCCCAATTTTGCTGAAATACCATGAAAATGTTTTGGAGTGATTCCTGTAACTTTTTAACCAGATTGGGGACACGAAACAAAATTTGATGATGAGATATGTTGATTCATCTTGTTTTATGACATACACAACCTATTGAAGAAGGGTAGGGTTTGTTTTGAAGTCATGAACCTATTTTCAAAGAGTATTTACTTTTATTTTCCAACACTCTGGTGTGGTAGTAAAACTATGGAGCAGTTCTTTTCCTAAGGAAATGTTCTTGAAGTTCATGGCTTCTCTCGTTATCCTTTACTCTTTACACAGCTGTTCCCAACTAGTGGTTATTGAACTAATATTGGGTAACAAGAAAATAATACCATAACAGTCAAATTAAAAATCCCAAATGAATGTGTACACTCACCAGAAAAATAAGTAGACACACGTTAAATGCAAACCCTGATGTCAGAATCCAACTTTCAGATATCAAGTTTGAATTTCAGTGTTTCACGAAAGAGGCATTAATATTTTATGGAGGATATTTTTCGGTTTAACCTATGCTCAGCAAAAAAGCAGTTGAATTCGCAGACATTAAAGATGATTTTGTATTCATTTTTTGTAGTTTAAGCTATCTCTTAAGTTCTTTTTCTGAAAACATTTTAAGATTATGCTTCTTTGACTTTCTTTAAAATTATTTAATTTCATTTTTATTTATTTTGTAATGAACATCACAAAAAATTCAAAGCCCAATATTTTGATATACCATGCTTCATTGACGATGGTCAACTTGCACAAAATTGTTTGTTTCCCTCACAATAGGTGGCAGCATGCAACTCTGTTAATACAAATTTTTGATAAATCCATTTTTGCATATCTGTCTTCATTTGATCTCATCTTAATCTCTCTTCACTAATGTAATTTATTAACTTGAAACACTTTAAGATTAATTAAAGAAAAGATGTTGTCAGGTTAAAACATATTTAAACTTAAGATATTTTCAATTGCGTAGCGATCTTCATTTGAAGATCCAAATCAATCATTTCGTAGCGATCATCATTTGAAGATACAAATCAATCAATGCATGTTGGGAAAGACCAAACTTGTTCGAATTACATCTTAAAATTTGCTCAAGTTTCAACATTATAGTAAAAGACCAGTTTGAAATACCATAAATATCAAGGTGATCCAAAATATTAAAACTCTCGGGCAATTTAATTATTTTCATAACATTCTCTCCTAAAGAGATTTGGTTCATTATTATGTATTCCAAATAGATGGACAACTCTTTAATAAAGGTCACCATAAATATCAACTCTTAATGTGTACAGATTATTTCTTTCCTCAGCAAGCAAAATATCATAACACTTCCCTTCCAAGTCTCATGTACTCAATTTTTGCTGAATAGCAAATGCTGATGATTTGCCCCAGATTAAAACATAGTAGTGTCTTCTTCCCCTTTCAATCAAACCATAAAAAATGTTACAGAAAATGTAAGAATAATAAAAGAACACAAAACACCAACCTCCATTGCTTTGCATAGTTTCCTTACAAACTGGTCAGAAACTTTCGATTCTCGCACACTAATTTTATCAGAACGATGAACATTCAACTCGTCCACAACTTCTTTTAAATGTATGAATCGCTGTGAAGGGCTGCGCTGCATTTCTGCACTTTTTCTTTCCAAGAAAACTTGAAACTGCTCTGAACTGCGATATGCAGGTACCAAAAGGAAATAATATTTTTTCAATTTCTTCTCGATTATTTTTTTCATGTTGCTGCTACTATCTAATCTTAAACAGTCATCTACAAACTAATTAAACAAAAAAATTAAAATACAAAAATATCACCAAAAATAATTAAAGGGGGAAATGCAAATAGTTTACCTCATTAAAGACAACTTCATGATTTTCAGTCAAAGGACTTGCAGAACCATTGCTCTTTGATATTTCCTTTGGTTTATTTTCTACTTGTCCTACAGGTGTTGGCTGCTCAAAAACAGAAATACATATAGCACAAAGTACTATCATTACTACAAATGCACATTAACTGTCCATCATACTTACTACAATTTTTCGTTTCTTTGCAGACTCATTTGAATGGTCTAGGTGTCTTTTGCTTCCTTTTTCTTCCTCAACATATTCTTTTTTGACAACCTAAAATTATGAACACAAATAATAAAAAAAATTTTCAGGCCTAATACATAAGTTACACATTATAAAGTTTCTACGATATACCTTTTCAGGTTCTGAATCATCTCCCGATGACAGGACTACTACCTCGCTCATTGCTTCAATATTTGATACTCAATTCTGTTCATGTAAAAATGGTTATCATACAATCATCTAAAAATTAATTTCAACCTGAAAAATTGGATATTTTGTAAAAAAATTTTAGATTAGAAAATTATACTCGATTGTATGTCATTGCTAACCTGAAAGAGTCATGTTTAAAGTAAATTATAAATAATACTATTAGCTGACAGAAAATAAATACAGTAAGTAATTGCAAATATAACTTCAAATGCTCATCAAAATCCACAATAATCGATAAGGATTACAAACAAGTCCAAGTTGCTAAGTTCTCATTTCTCATATTCAGGATATCAAATTGATATTATTAATATTTTGAACGATCTCGTGTGGTCGGACACGTTTTTTATTATATTACATCGGCATTAAAGAATGCGCCATCGAAGTCCAATTTAAAGAATTTCATGACCCACTTTCAATTCCCAAACCTAACCTTCATAACACAGACATCATAAGACAGACTCGTTCCACATACGACGCGTACGACGCCATGTATGTAACTTTTCAAATGTAGCATTTGCAGATACACAGCAGAACAGCCAATATTGCAGCACTGAATTCCCCTCCACTTATGATTAAACCCCTCCTATTTAGTCGTTTATTATATATTGTTATATATTTGCAGACACCGCAATAAGGAACTACTGTTGTCAGCGAAGGACTGAATGCACACCTGAGAATATACAAATGATGCTGATATATAACAGCTGCTATCAATGCTGGCATTAGCTGAAACAGTCCGCGAAAAAGTGTTTGTTTTGTTTTTGTCGTTTCTGTTATGACTGCGGAAAAATCAAATCCACTTCGTTAAGGGATTGCTTTGTCTGTAAATTAATTATAAAATAATGTAGTGAAATATTGTTGCGTTGGAAAGAAAAGGGGGGGGGGTATTAAAAGAGTTTTTGTACGTAACCGAAACGGCAAACGTTAAGTTATAATTAACGTAATGTGGAATTTTGTGTGAAGCTCAAATAAAGTGTGTTTTCGAATGCTTGCCAGAGAGTATTGAGTATTGTGGTTTTGTGTGGTGCTTGCACAACGCCAACCGACGCTAATGGTTACGCTTATAAGGTGCTGACATCGGGTATTACTCCCGCAACTTTTCTTGAACGATGACCTGATCCCCCTCCCTTGTGCAATAAACAGTTAAAGGCAAAAGCTCGCAGCGGGCACTGATGACAACCTTTCAAGCATTAAAACTTCGTTGGCGCGAAACA